GTGTGTATGTATGTGAGTGTGTGTGAATGGTGTGTGAGTGTGTGTGTATTTGTGTGTGTATGTGTGTATGTGAATGTATGTGTATTTGTGTGAGTGTGTGAGTGTATGCGTGTGATTATGTGTGTGCATGTGTGTGTATTTGTGTGCGTGAGTGTGTATGAGTATGTATGTGTGGTGTATATGGAAACCAGGGCCCGAGCATGCTAGACAAATGTTCAACTGTGCTATACGCCCAGTTCACTTCCTTTCCCCCACCCCCCATCTCTCTAGGAGCCAAGACTTTGTGCTTGCTAACAAAGTGCTGAGTCTCCAGGTTAAATCTCCAAGTCCTGTTTTGTTGTTGTTTTTGTTTGGGTTTCATGTTGTTGTTTCGTTGTGGTTTTTGATTCATTGAGGTCTCATATGGAGACTAGAGAGATGGCTCCAAGGTTTAAGAGCATGTGTAATATCAGATCTCCTGGAACTGGACTAACAGCGGTTGTGAGCCACCATGTGGTTGCTGGGAATTGAACTCAGGATGTCTGGAAGAGCAGCCAGTGCTCTTAATCACTCAGCCATCTCTATAGCCACTAACTTTTATTTTTAGTTATGGCTAGATGTGTGTGTGTGTGTGTGTGTGTGTGTGTGTGTGTGTGTGTAAAACTGTGGGTTTGTATGAGCTGGAACTGAACTCCTGATTGTGAGCCTCCTGTGTGTTTGTGTGTGTGTGTGTATATGTGTGTGTAAAACTGTGGGTTTGTATGAGCTGGAACTGAACTCCTGACTGTGAGCCTCCTGCTATGGGTGCTGGAAACCAAACTCAGTCCCTCCTAAACAGTAGCACATGCTCTTATGACTGAGCCATTTCTCTAGCTACAATTTATTATTCTACTTTTAAAATTTATTTATTTTTATTTTCTGTGCAGGAATGCTTTGCCTGCGTGTATGTCTGTGTGAGGGTATTGGATCGCCTTGAACTGGAATTACAAACAGTTGTGAGCTGCCTTGTGGATGCTGGGATTAAACTCTGATCCTCTAGAAGAACAGCTAGTGTTCTTAACCTCTGAGCCATCTCTCTCTAGTCTATCATTATCATTAACTTTTCAAAAAACAAAACCACCACCAACAGACATTTCTAGTGGTCCAGGCTGGCACTCAACTCCTATTCCTCTTACCTCCTTCTTTCAAGTGCAGAGAACACAGACATTACCACCAGCACGTCTCTTAGAATGCTGTTCTTAGACTTTTAAAGCTGTTTGTCACATTCCACTTTGTTTCTTTAGATTTTGATTAGTATTAGGTTAGAAGCCCCTCTGAAGACAAGATTTGTCACTTTAATGGTGGGACACAAACCTTTTCTTAATATAAATGATCTGAAGAGCTCCCATAGGGGCTCCTGTGTGTACTGTAAAACCTGTAGCATACCCGTACAATTAGAACAGCATCCAACACAGAAAAGGCTTTGTTGTTGTTGTTGTTGTTGTTATTGTCATTGTTGTTCTTTAAGACAAGGTTTCAAGATCTAGCCCTGACTGGCCTGGTACTACTATGTAGACCAGGCTGGCTTTCAGCTCACAAAAATCCACTAGCC